AAAAAAAAAAAAAAAAAAAACATTAATGGGTTCCCAAAACAAAGAAAAAAGATTGATGATGATCAATCTAAGAAAGATGTTTTAAAAAAAAAGAACGAGAGATTTGGATATCTCGTCTTCGTCCATCTTGTTCTTGTTCTTGTTCTTGCTCTGGTTCAGGGGGATAATAAGTCATCTAAGCATGGAGGAGGTTAAGGATCTGAAGACGTGTTCTTGGCAAGGGATGGTGAGGCCCATGTAATGATCGAACCCAAATTCCTCTTCGGCTTGTCGGAGAAGGCATTGGAACTCTGGATGGGTCAAGAAGGAGATCGGGACGATGAATCGGCTCCGATTTTCACCGACGTACACGGCGAAGTGACCCTTTGGGACGTCGACGGGGAGATCGTTGTCGTCGTAGCCGCCATTGTTGGTTTTTTTGCCAAGGCTTGAGCAGCGTTTGAGGATTTGTTTGAGGACTGTGGGTTGTGGGAGTTTGTTTGCCTTTCTAATGGCCATTTTGTGGGAATGGGAATGGGAATTGATCTCTCCTTTGGGGCTTTTGGGAGGAGATAAAAAGGGGTATTTATGAAGAAGAAGGGAGTGAAGGACAGCCATAGGAGTGTAGGGTAATGTGTCCTAAGAGAGATAGAAGGAAGGGAGAGATGGTTGGAGCCAAAGACCAAATGGGCCTACCTTTGCTTTGGATGTTCGCTTTCCCAACGACAACTACGACTTCAAATGATTGAATGAGGCTATCGAACAAGTAGGCAACGTGGTCATGTCACACAGGATACACGTAGGTAACGTGGCCATGCTGCATGATAGATATCACTCTTAGAAGTAGTTAAGACAAGTAGGCAACGTGATCATGTCACATAGGATACACGTAGGTAACGTGGCCATGCTGCATGATAGATATCACTCTTAGAAGTAGTTAAGACAAGTAGGCAACGTGATCATGTCACATAGGATACACGTAGGTAACGTGGCCATGCTGCATGATAGATATCACTCTTAGAAGTAGTTAAGACAAGTAGGCAACGTGATCATGTCACACAGGATACACGTAGGTAACGTGGCCATGCTGCATGATAGATATCACTCTTAGAAGTAGTTAAGACAAGTAGGCAACGTGATCATGTCACACAGGATACACGTAGGTAACGTGGCCATGTTGCATGATAGATATCACTCTTAGAAGTAGTTAAGACAAGTAGGCAACGTGATCATGTCACATAGGATACACGTAGGTAACGTGGCCATGTTGCATGATAGATATCACTCTTAGAAGTAGTTAAGACAAGTAGGCAACGTGGTCATGTCACACAGGATACACGTAGGTAACGTGGCCATGTTGCATGATAGATATCACTCTTAGAAGTAGTTAAGATAAGTAGGCAACGTGGTCATGTCACATAGGATACACGTAGGTAACGTGGCCATGTTGCATGATAGATATCACTCTTAGAAGTAGTTAAGACAAGTAGGCAACGTGGTCATGTCACACAGGATACACGTAGGTAACGTGGCCATGCTGCATGATAGATATCACTCTTAGAAGTAGTTAAGACAAGTAGGCAACGTGGTCATGTCACACAGGATACACGTAGGTAACGTGGCCATGCTGCATGATAGATATCACTCTTAGAAGTAGTTAAGACAAGTAGGCAACGTGATCATGTCACATAGGATACACGTAGGTAACGTGGCCATGTTGCATGATAGATATCACTCTTAGAAGTAGTTAAGACAAGTAGGCAACGTGGTCATGTCACACAGGATACAAGTAGGTAACGTGACCATGCTACATGATAGACTTTACTCTTAGAAGCAGATAAGACAAGTAGGTAACGTAGTCATGTAGCACAGGATACACGAGAATGTCGAGACCATCAGGTGCTCAATTCGAGTTTCGTATTTTCGGGCATGGAACGTTACCAACCAGTAATTGACGTTTACTGTTTAAACCTACACACACCACATTTAACAAAGACGTGAAGCTACGTTTAAATTTCCGTAAAAACGATCCGAATTAATTTGAATAAAAGAAATAAAGGAAGAAAGAGGGGAAGGATCCACTAGGGATGTCTACTTGAAATAAGAGAGCAACAATTGGAAGTGTACTGTTTGGAGTACAAAATCTGTTGGAATTTTTTAAATTTAGTGTTTGTTTCGATGTGGGATTCTCAGTATTCCAATTTTTTTAATTTTTTATTTATTTAATTATTTAATTTTACAATTACAAACCCATGTGCTTTTCCTATTTTGATATTATTATTATTTTTTATTATATGATTTTGTAATTAATTTCCAAAATTTTGTTGTGAATTTGAACATAATTAATTAGATACCTACATCTTTTTATTTTTTTTTCTAATAATAATAATAATAATAAATAATAATTTATTTAATTTGATTTTGAAAAAAAAAATTAAAATTAGTATTTAATTACTCGAGTTTACTAAAATAACTACAGGTAGCTAGTCAATAAAAACATAGGTTATATTCCGTCTTTAGTTAAGAGACCGTGAATTCAAACTCTCACCTTTAACCGAAATTAAGGATCGAGGTATACTTAAATAATAATAATAATATTTATTATTATTATTATTATTACGTTGTCTCTATTTATCTTCGACACATTCGTGAAATATTTTTAAATTAATTAAACTCTTCCAATTAAGTTATTAATTATTATAATTAAAAAAAAAAAAAAAAAAAAAAAAAA